TTCAAAAAAATTCAGATATAAAAAAAACTTAGATACAAAAAAACTAACCGAACTTGAATTTCTCAACCCTATAGTGGGGTGCTGTCAGGGTATATTCAGGAGTTGCAAATCTGGCGTTCAATTGTGACTGCTCAAGTTCTTTTGGTTTTCGAGAAATTGCGTTTTTTGTGATTTTTTTTTTAGATTTTTTCCAAAAAACTTAGATATTAGAAACTAACCGAATTTGAATTTCGCCACCCTATAGTGGGGTGCTATCAGGGTACATTCAGGAGTTGCAAATCTGGTGTCCAAGTATGACTGCTCAAATCCTTTTGGTTTTCGAGAAATTGCGTTTTCTATGATCTTTTCATTTTTTTGATCAAAAAACAGATATAAAAAAATAAACGGAACTTCAATTTCTCAACTCTATCAGGGGGTGCTGTCAGGGTACATTCAGGGGTTGCAAATCTAGAGTCTAATATTGACTGCTCAAATTCTTTTGGTTCTCGAGAAAATGTGTTTTTATGATTTTTTCTAATTATTTTTTTCAAAATCTTAGATATAAAAAAAATTAATTGAACTTCACTTTCTCAACCTTATAGTGGGGTGATGTCAGAGTACAATCAGGGGTTGCAAATCTGAAGTCCCGGTATGACTGCTCAAATCCTTTTGGTTTTCGAGAATTTGCGTTTTCTATGATTTCATTTTTTTGATCAAAAAACAGATATAAAAAAATAAACGGAACTTCAATTTCTCAACTCTATCAAGGGGTGCTGTCAGGGTACATTCAGGGGTTGCAAATCTAGAGTCCAAGTTTGACTGCTCAAATACTTTTGGTTCTCGAGAAAATGTGTTTTTATGATTTTTTTCAATTATTTTTTTCAAATTCTTAGATATAAAAAAAATTTAACTGAACTTCACTTTCTCAACCTTATAGTGGGGTGATGTCAGAGTACAATCAGGGGTTGCAAATGCGTATTCTATGATTTCATTTTTTTGATCAAAAAACAGATATAAGAAAAATGAACGAACTTCAATTTCTCAACTCTATCATGGGGTGCTGTCAGGTAACGTTCAGGGGTTGCAAATCTAGAGTCTAAGTTTGACTGCTCAAATCCTTTTGGTTCTCGAGAAAATGTGTTTTTATGATTTTTTTTTCAAAAATCATAGATATAAAAAAAATAACTGAACTTCACTTTCTCAACACTATAGTGGAATGCTGTCAGGGTACAATCAGAGGTTGCAAATCTGGAATCCAAGTATGACTGCTCAAATTCTTTTGGTTTTCGAGATATGGCGTTTTTTTCTGATTTTTTCATAATTTTTTTTCAAAAAAATTCAGATATAAAAAAAACTTAGATACAAAAAAACTAACCGAACTTGAATTTCTCAACCCTATAGTGGGGTGCTGTCAGGGTATATTCAGGAGTTGCAAATCTGGCGTTCAATTGTGACTGCTCAAGTTCTTTTGGTTTTCGAGAAATTTCGTTTTTTGTGATTTTTTCATTTTTTTTTCAAAAAAACTTAGATGTAAAAAAAATTGACCGAAATTCACTTTCTCAACACTATAGTGGAGTGCTGTCAGGGTACAATCAGAGGTTGCAAATCTGGAGTCCAAGTATGACTGCTCAAATCCTTTTGGTTTTATCGAGATATGGCGTTTTTTTCTGATTTTTTCATAATTTTTTTTCAAAAAAATTCAGATGTAAAAAAACTTAGATACAAAAAAACTAACCGAACTTGAATTTCTCAACTCTATAGTGGAGTGCTGTCAGGGTATAATCAGGAGTTGAAAATCTGGCGTTCAATTGTGACTACTCAAGTTCTTTTGGTTTTCGAGTAATTGCGTTTTTTGTGATTTTTTAGTTTTTTTTCCAAAAAACTTAGATATTAAAAAAAACCGAACTTGAATTTCGCCACTCTATAGTGGGGTGCTATCAGGGTACATTCAGGGGTTGCAAATCTGGCGTCCAAGTATAACTGAAGGCTCAAATCCTTATGGTTTTCGAGAAACTGCGTTTTTTATGATTTTTTCATTTTTTTTTTTTTTTCAAAAAAACTTAGATGTAAAAAAAATTGACCGAAATTCACTTTCTCAACACTATAGTGGAGTGCTGTCAGGGTACAATCAGAGGTTGCAAATCTGGAGTCCAAGTATGACTGCTCAAATCCTTTTGGTTTTATCGAGATATGGCGTTTTTTTCTGATTTTTTCATAATTTTTTTTCAAAAAAATTCAGATGTAAAAAAAACTTAGATACAAAAAAACTAACCGAACTTGAATTTTTCAACTCTATAGTGGAGTGCTGTCAAGGTATAATCAGGAGTTGAAAATCTGGCGTTCAATTGTGACTACTCAAGTTCTTTTGGTTTTCGAGTAATTGCGTTTTTTGTGATTTTTTAGTTTTTTTTCCAAAAAACTTAGATATTAAAAAAAACCGAACTTGAATTTCGCCACCCTATAGTGGGGTGCTGTCAGGGTACATTCAGGGGTTGCAAATCTGGCGTCCAAGTATAACTGAAGGCTCAAATCCTTATGGTTTTCGAGAAAGTGCGTTTTTTATGATTTTTTCATTTTTTTTTTTTTTCAAAAAAACTTAGATGTAAAAAAAAATTAACCGAACTTCACTTTCTCAACACTATAGTGGAGTGCTGTCAGGGTACAATCAGAGATTGCAAATCTGGAGTACAAGTATGACTGCTCAAATCCTTTTGGTTTTATCGAGATATGGCGTTTTTTTCTGATTTTTTCATAATTTTTTTTCAAAAAATTTCAGATATAAAAAAAACTAGATACTAAAAAACTAACCGAACTTGAATTCCTGAACCCTATTGTGGGGTGCTGTCAGGGTAAATTCAGGGCTTGCAAATCTGGCGTCCATGTATGACTGCTCAAATCTTTTTGGTTTTATCGAGATATGGCGTTTTTTTCTGATTTTTTCATAATTTTTTTTCAAAAAATTTCAGATATAAAAAAAACTAGATACTAAAAAACTAACCGAACTTGAATTCCTGAACCCTATTGTGGGGTGCTGTCAGGGTAAATTCAGGGCTTGCAAATCTGGCGTCCATGTATGACTGCTCAAATCCTTTTGGTTTTATCGAGATATGGCGTTTTTTTCTGATTTTTTCATAATTTTTTTTCAAAAAATTTCAGATATAAAAAAAACTAGATACTAAAAAACTAACCGAACTTGAATTCCTGAACCCTATAGTGGAGTGCTGTCAGGGTACAATCAGAGATTGCAAATCTGGAGTACAAGTATGACTGCTCAAATCCTTTTGGTTTTATCGAGATATGGCGTTTTTTTCTGATTTTTTCATAATTTTTTTTCAAAAAATTTCAGATATAAAAAAAACTAGATACTAAAAAACTAACCGAACTTGAATTCCTGAACCCTATTGTGGGGTGCTGTCAGGGTAAATTCAGGGCTTGCAAATCTGGCGTCCATGTATGACTGCTCAAATCTTTTTGGTTTTATCGAGATATGGCGTTTTTTTCTGATTTTTTCATAATTTTTTTTCAAAAAAATTCAGATATAAAAAAAACTAGGTACTAAAAAACTAACCGAACTTGAATTTCTCAACCCTATTGTGGGGTGCTGTCAGGGTAAATTCAGGGCTTGCAAATCTGGCGTCCATGTATGACTGCTCAAATCTTTTTGATTTTCGAGAAATTGCGTTTTTTTATTTTTTTTTTCAAATCCTAATATTTTTTTAGAATTGTGGTTTGTCTGTTTTCTGAAGACTTGGTTTTGTAGCACCGGAGGTTCGATTGACGCGCTAGTTATACATTATAAGCAGTAAATTTCTGTTGTTTTTCAGCTTATTGGCTGTCGGTTGTAGTTTTCTCTCGGCTATTTTTTCCTACAAATTTTCTGTTTTGTTTTATAGATATATAAGTCTGGCTATATATTTTTGAATGCTTAATATCAACCTTTTAAGGTCCTATTGAAAAAAACTTAAATGCATTTAATCATGAAAAAACTTCTTCTTTCGTTTTAATTTTTTGCTCGCTCGAAGTCTTCCTTGCTACTTCGGCGTCATGCTTGTTTAATCATATGCTTGTTGTATTGCAAGTGATGCGAAGCTCAGCTTCGCCTCTGTCTCAAAACTTTTTTAGACAGCGGTTTTCGTCTCAATTTCTGTCTGCTAATTTGTCCTGGTTATGAAATATTTCCCGGCTTAATTGTACAGTTTTTATGTTTCTAATAGAAACAGGACTTGTGGGACCAAATTGACTATTCAACGCTGAGAAGTCTTTTTTATAGTTTATTCTTCTAAATAGGCATTGCGAAGTTTTAATCTGCTTATTATTTTATTGATGTCTGTTATGGTGGGCTCATTTTTAGTTCAAGTTTTTCTGATGTTTTTAGTTTTTTGTTGTTTAATAAATGTGTTTTCGATTAGCTGAGTTTTTCCTTGAGATAAATTACGGTTGTCAACTGGGCAATTGACAATTTCCATCCACAATTTTTGTTTCTTAGCTATCCATACTGAGACGACAAATGAGGTTTACAGCATTTGAAATGAACTGTTCGAATTTATAGCGGTTTATGTCTTTGAGAAATACAATTGGAAACTTCCATCCAAAACATTGTCGTCTTAACAGATGTCGTCTTCTTTTCCGAACAGTTTGTATATATCCGTAAAGTGTAAAAGATACCGGATCTCTTTAACTGTCGCCCCCTTTGTTACCTAGTAACGAATTGCCACCCCTGTAAGGGACTAATTCAATGGCTAAAAATATGTTAATTTTGCGCCTAATAAAAAATATCCCCCCTTTTGCAAAGAGATAGTCAAAAAGATACAAGAGATCAGCAATAGTGTAAATTATTTAAAAACCATCGAAATTCAATCAGTTTTCGTATTTCACTTCAATTTGATCATATTTTGATGAATCATTGTCAACAAAAAAATCAGCTAATACCACTATGCGCATTGTACTTAACACAAAATGTAGACATAGTTACAGTTGCGAGTAGCAAGTGCTATCACAATTTAATGTCACTGGATTTTTTCAGTTCTTTGCTACTGTGAGACAATGAGTCGGTTTGTTGCTGGATTTGCGTTGCTTTTGTTACTATGCTTTGGATTCAACGATGCGCAATCTGAAGATATAGCAAATTGTGAAGTTCTGGATGAAGCCAACTTCGAGGAATCGGTTAAAAGTGCAAACTACTTTGTGATGTTCTATGCTCCATGGTGTGGCCACTGCAAAAGGTTGAAACCCAAGTGGAATGAGTTCTGTGGGAAGATGAACTCTGAAACTTCGGAGACAAAGATTGCAGCCGTTGATTGCACCGTTGAATCATACACGTGTAAGAAGCATGGCGTGTCGGGATATCCAACGTAAGTAACTTAAGTCTTAATTTCTTCAAAAACATTTTTTTTAATGTTCATTAATCTGCGTTTTAATAAGATAGCATCCTCGATAATTTTATTTCGGTTTTTTCGATTGAAAAAAACTTTCCTGTTATCATTCAGCATTTTAAGCCGACTAAAATAAACCGATATACAGTTTTGTTGAAACTGTTTTGATGGTAAGTGAACGAGTGTGAATAAACCAGCCAAAGTTACGTCATTTTAGTGAAAATTTGCATATTTTTCGGAGCTGTTACAACTTTAACTTCATTATTATGTGACAGCTCCGTATATCGGCTGGCTTATATGGCAGCTGGTTAATAAATACTTCAGCTGGTTTATATACCACCTAAGTGAATTTGCTTATAATTTTATCATGTTCATTATTTTAGGCTGAAGATGTACAAGAAAGGCATTCTTGACGGGACCAAGTATACTGGCGGCCGCGAAATTGAAGCGTTTGAGAAGTTCATCAAAGCAACTTTGAACCCAGAATCTGTGGTTAGTTTTATACTGAGCCATTTCTGATTTTTATGGTGTCGTAGTGAAGCAAACTACGTCTATAATAAGAAGGCAACCATTTTTTCTCTAATTTTAGATCAGATTTGAAAGGTAAACGATTTTGAATTTAAAGAGCTTTTCAGTTTGGTTATGTTCTTTCGATTGTGCTCTGGCACAGAAAAAAAAATTCGAGAACATATTTCAGGAGAATAAAACATTTTTTGTTGCACGGCAACTCATTTGAATTTGCCTTTGTGTTAATGTGGTTAGTTTAATGAGAAAGGAATTTATTTTTTAAATCAATTGCTGCCAAATTCATGGCTCTATCGGCCAACTTAAACATCTTAATTGCTTTCAAGTACTAATTTAAGGTTAATAACACTCTCGAGAGCAGGTGTCTTGTAATCAAACAACTTTCCATCATACCATTGAATTGATTTATTATTGAACTTGAACAGCTTCCAAGGCTTGGTCTATAGGGAGCGAGGATTTCTTTGCACCCAAAGATCTGAATTCGAGTTTTGTTTGTATGCTAATTTTGTCTTAATTTTTAAAGCATGAAAATTTTTACTATTTACTAAATTACTATAATACGCAGATGTCCTGTTACTTGGTCAATTTACTAACTTGTTTTTTTTGCATAAGATTTTGTTCGACCTTTGAAAATGGAGAGAAACTTTGTATTCTTGTGTAGTTTAGTTTTTTCTTCATATTTTTTAGTTTTCCATGCAAAATTAATTACCAATAATAATTCGTGTGATATATCTTATTAAAGCTTTTTCAGTCCAGATTCGAAACATATAAATGTCAACAAATTATCCCTGTGTTGAAATTTTAGAGTATTAAACCTCTGTTTGAGTTTTTGAAATTTTGTCCTCTTTCGAGCGAGCTGAATTTCGAACGTTTGTTAAAATAAAATTGATCATTTAGGCTAATAAAACATGACTTCACAAACAAAGACTAGTTTTGGAACCTTCACTTAGCGGTTCCTTGGCAAAAAAAGGTTTTCAAAAAAGTTTTCTGCAAAAAATGGAAAAATTTGTTCATTTTTTGGAGACAATTGTTATAGATTTTGCCTGAGTTACTAACGTTCTACGCATTTGTGTAGTTCTCTCACCACGCACGACAAACGACACTAATTGAAGAAAAAAGAAACAATCTATTTTTGTAGTTTATGAATGAGGGTCGGAACATAATATGCTATTTGTGCAGCAACCGGATATCCTTGTTTTCTTTTTTTTTGTTTTATTGGTTGCGGCTGAATATTGTTTCGGCTTAGTAAATTTAATTTGTGCCATTTGATTGAAAAATTGATATGTTTCTTTAATTCAGGATTGTGTTTGAGGTGTTTTAAGAGTTTTATGTTGAAATTTCCCATGGGATTTCGACCTGAAACCAGAAGTTCGCGCAGGCTTTGGAGTTCAGTTGCTCTGTTTGTAAGATTTTGTTTGATGAGATTTTGAATATTTTAAAGGGTTGAGAACTCTTTTCCATTGTCAAATTGAGCAGTCCTTATTTAGTCAACCGTTCTGATTCGTTGACTGCCGAAAAGATATAGTTTTTGACAAATTTATTGGACAACGTTTGAAAGTTTTGAAAAACTTGACATTCAAGCTTAAACTAAGTTAAAATAGCTCTTTGAGGAATTGTGTTATTCTTTTCGTCTCTGACCGCAGGTCATTGTTGAATAGATTTTTTTTATTTGTTGTCTTGAAATTAGGCAAAAAATGGACGTATCCGACAAAGCGTTATCCTGTTGCATTGATCTTTTGACAATTCGAATACCCTAGAGAGTTGCAAAATGCTCAGACAAACAGAGATGAATAAAAAGAGCAGTCTGTCCATTTTAACAGAGATGACTAAAACGTGCAATATTTTCATTTTGCATGCATTTTTGATGTTTCAGACCACATTGAGATTTAGGGAGGTGCAAAAAGTTTGATCACACAGAAAAAATTAAAAAGAGCATTAGCATGCAAATTTTTTTCAAAATAGGTCAACTACTCTTTTTAATTAATTTCTTCTATCTGCGACTTTTTTTCTGCTACAAATTAAAATACAACGCCCTTTCATTGTCTCAAGGTCGGAATTATTTCAAATATTTAAGACGCTGTCCGTTATAGAGAATTGCAAAAAGTTCGGACAGACAGAATTAATTAAAAAGAGCAATTGCCTAGACATCAGCGGAAATAAAAACTCGGATAATCGACGATCTTGCTTTTCGAATTTGGTCTGACAAAAAGTTCAAAGTTGTCCGGCTTCAGATTTTGCATGCAAAAAAGCGTCAAAAAGCACTGATTGCTCATTTTAATTATTTCTGTCTGTCCGAACTTTTTGCTACTAATTATAATAGAGAGTTGCAAAACGTTGCAACAGACAAAACTAATTAAAAAGAGCAAAAGACCTATTTGAGTCAAATTTTGCATAGAAAGCCTAAGTCAAGAAAAAAATTTAAATTTGCATGCAAACGTTGCTCAAAATTGGCAGATTGGTCTTTTAAATTGTATTTGTTTGTTCCAACTTTTTGCTGCGTGTTATACTAAACTATACTGCCATCATTTTGGCATAATTTAATATAGCTTTCAACAAATTTGTCGGACAACGTCTTAAACTTTCGAAACAATTCTGACCTTCAAGCTTAAACTTATGAGCAATAGTTCTTCGAAGTTTCGCAATTGCCTTTTTGTTGGCGTTTTTTGTGTTCTTGTACTTTTGAAAAATTGTATGTGAGATTGCTGCTGAATGAAAATTTTTGAAATTAAAGGCTTGAAGTTATATTAAAAAAACTGACCTCTGAAAAAGCGCAATATTTTTGGTTTGTTCTTGTGACATTTCAAACGCAATTTTGAAAATTGGGTTGTATTTTCAACTCAATTTAACTGTCTCAAGGCCAGAATTATTTCAGAAATTTAAGACGTCCAATAAGTTTGTTAAAAACTATAGACGATGAAAAAGCTCTTTTTTCCTCGACCTTCAACTAAATTTTTCTTTCGAAAAGACAGCACAGCTTCGCTGCTTTTTCTTGACTGCAATTAATCATCCAAAATTACTGTTTGACAATGTCTTACGAAACTACTTCGAGTGAAAATCGACTGAGGGGAGATTTCAAGATCCCAAGAAAACAGCCGAAAATAGAGCTGAAAGTTGCGGAGGAAGAGCGGTATCTTACTTCCTTGCCGAAACTACTAAGCGGTCAGCAAAGTTCAATCTCAACTGATGCAGCAGTTTTTAGCCGGTTCTCGAGAAGAAACCAATTAAACTCGGATGAAGAAAGTGAAGGAAGCGACGACAATTTATCGCCTTCCTTTAAGGCAGTTGAAGACAGCTCTAAAGAAAAAACTCGGGAAAAGGTTGCGATCGCAGCTCCTCAGTTTCAATTTGAAACGCCATTGGAAGCCATGACTCCTCGTTGTCCAACAGAGTCCATGATGACTTCTACCGCTCCTCAGATGCTGTTGGATGCACCTCGGAGTTCAGTGTTGACAGCTCAATTCCAGTTTGAAGCATCTGTGGAACCTGAACGTCAACTGGAGACTCCCGCAACGTCACGGGATCACAAACTCCTGATCAAAACGACGCCTATGTAATTATAGCTTTCTGCAATTTGGTCCAGCGATTTCAACGAGAAATGGGGATTTCTTGAAAATTCAAGAGTTGTATCTTGGATCCGCTGGCGTTGAAGTTTTTCTATTCGCTTCTCATTATAACAATTGCCTATGAAACACGAATTAAAGAAGAAAACTTCGCATGGATTTCCTAACATAAGTCTGCCGTCTATTTAAAAAAAAACAAAGTACTATTGCTTTATAGGACAGATGGAAATCTCCTGAGCTGCGATGCTATCGTTGACCACTTCGAGAAGTTTGGGACTGTACTGAATGTCTCCAAATACTCTATTTACACTGGGATTCCTTTTCAACGCGAGAGAAAGAGAGCCAAAATGATAGTAGTGTTCTGCTATTTCATGAGTATTGGTCGCTTCCCTGAGAAATCTGAAGTTTCTAAAAGCTTTGTATGATCTTATAAACTACAGTGAAATTGGACCAATTTTCTTGGCAACTGACTTTTAATGACTTTTAATCGATTGCAAATATAACGCAGCAAAAAAAACGGCGTGTATTTTTAGGTAAATAAAATGGGTTTTTGTGAATTGATGATATTTATAAATTCGAAAGGTGTTATGAAAACATCATTACCGGTAAGGGATAAAATGCGACCAATGCGCGAACAAATAATTCATTCCTAGCGAGCTTCCGGGGCATTTCATTGTTGAATTCAGCTACGAGTTGGGTCTGAATTGCGCTTTGTCGGATGGAAAAATCCAGAAACTGAAAACTATCTTTCAGGGCAGTCAGAAAAATGTCTACATGAAGCTATTCGAGTTTACAGCCGAGCTCGAGGATGTGATATTGGCAAAAACTAAGACTTATCGTGAACGGAAATTGAACGAGTTGTTGTTGAACGAACCGAATAGAAATTATTGGAAATGAAGTAAATGTATTTAGAGAAATAAACTTTTTGTTCTTCCTAGTTTTTCACATGAGGAAATGCAAAAAGTTAGATCCGCATTTAAAATCAGTGAAACAATAGTTTTTTCTAATAGTTGGCCAATTTGTTTTTCAGTGTCGTTCAGTTAATTTATTGTGCTGAGTGTTTTAGAAGCCGGAACCATTTAGGCTAAAAAAAACTTGATTTTAAGAACCAAAACTACTTTTAGAAGCTTCGTTTAGCGGTTCCTTGGAAAAAATTTTTTTTTCGAGTTTGGAGACAATTGTGCTGAGTGTTTTAGGAGCCGGAACCGACAGTGGAGCCGTGTAGTGTGCCATCTGGTGATAACGGACTTCTAGAGCTGCAGGATTGTAACTTCGAAGAGGGCGTGAAGACTGGCCACAGTTTGGTCAAGTTCTACGCTCCATGGTAATTTTATATTAGTCAAAATTCAGGAATTTCTAATTGGGGAAAGGCGACAACTCGTTGAAAGCGACGGATTAAAATATATTGGAAAAAAGCCGATTCGTAGAGAGTGACTATTAGCGCCAAGTTATCATCATTACCGGCAAAAAATCTCGATCAGAAACAATTGAAGTTCCTGTAATGGTATAATATCAAAGATATAACATTATACCCGAACTTGAAATCGTTTTTTCTATAAGTTCAGCCAATCGAAATTGACTTTTTTGAGAAGTTGTTAGAATGTTTGTGCTCGAGGTGGTTTTTTCTGTTGGTAGATACTGATTTTTTAACTGGCTTGACTCATAATTTACCGTCTGAAAAAGCTATTTTTTGGTGGGGCGTAAAGCTTGGAAAGTTTTTTCGGCTCAATTGTCGTCAACCTAAGTGTTGTCTTGACTACGGCTGGAATAGATATTTGTTTCCATACTAATTACACATGCGAGTTAACGAGTGTAGCGTCTTATAGCGAGTTCTAATTTTTTCCAACCGAACTTGCAAGTAAAAGGGGCTCTCTTGGTGATCATCTTGTTTCAATGCAAATCGTTTGCACCTAGTCTAAGGTGGGGGATTCAATTCCGACATGTAGCAATAGTTTTAATTCATTTGATAACATTGCTGCATAGACTTTACTTTTTATAGCATCTAGATAGCAGTAAGTCTCATTATCTCCCGAACCTGGTCGGAGGCTCCAAGCAAGAGTTTTTTTTATTCTTTTCTTTTGTCTCTTTTTTGAAACTTTTTAATAGCTACCTTTTGCCATTTCATCGCTGTTGCTTGCGAAACGCATCTTTGTATATGTGTTTACACTTGCGAGCGTAGTTTTTTAGGACGAATCTTCTTTTTTTACCTAACTCGCATATAAAAGTGTTCAATAGAAGTTTCCACTTATCTGGTGGCCTTTTTGCTATAATCACAATCTGTAGCATTGGAAATTTCATAGCATCTGTTCTCTGCTTTAATGGTGGCCAGTGTTCGCGATATATTATGCGTCCGCGATATATTATGCTTTCGAGTTTTTAGTAATTCGAGGTTTCTTACTACTTTCTACAATTTTACTTTCAATCATGCTTTCATCTTTTTGCACTAACTGAATGAATTAAGTACAATTTGCGAAAGAAAGGAACTAGACTTTGTTTCCTGGTAACAACTTTCTGACAAATCTGTTTTCCAGTAAAAATTGCACTTCTGTTTTTCTTTTCGCTTAAAAGTTTTATCCAGCCTAAACTATTTCGGCCCTTAATTTTTTTCTGACTCAATTTATTTTAAGTTATTTGAAGGGCAAAGATTGATAAGTTTTATTAAAATAATTTCGGTGGGTTGTGGCTGTTTTTTATCGGCTCAATTGGCGTGTACCCACGTTTTGTCAGCTAAATGTTTGTTCGGTAAATAATAAAAGCTTGTTTAATGCTGGTGGTTGTGTTCCTAGACAGTTTTTTTTGCATGGAACTTTGGATCAACCGTACAATCTCCACCCTAAGTGACCTACGTAGATTGCCCTCCCCCAGCATGTATTAATTCTGAAAAATAATTCTTTATGAAATATGCATTTCATACAAACGAGCAAATATAATTGGTTATTACATTTTTTTATGCGGGATTGCATATGTTTGCTGTTAATTACACAAATAATTTTTTTTAGTTCAGTTTTACTAAGTAATACGTTTAATTTAAAGGCATTTAGACTATACTTCATGTTAGCTTTTGAAAAATCCATATTTTCTCATCCCCCCCCCCCCCCCCCCCCCCCCCTAAATCGATTGGGGGGGGGGGGGGGTAATTGTACGATTGATCTGAAATTTTTACAGTTCTCATTTTCTATTCGCTAGCCTGCAATACATTTTCGATTCAATAAACATTGATCTGCTTCCCCCCAACAGTCAGTTTGCAATCTTTTCTTTTCTAATTATTGATGATAATTATGAAGTTGTTTTCGCTCAGGTGTGGCCACTGTAAGCGTATGGCGCCTGCTTGGGCAGAGTTGGCTGCTAACTTGGCCTCAGTCGACAATGTGAACATTGTGAAGTTGGATTGCACCAAGTACAAGTCAGTGTGTGGCAAATTTGACGTCCACGGATTCCCAACTGTCAAGTACATCAAGGACGGAAAAGAGGTGAGCAGTCGTTAGAATCTTTTTCTCACATGTGGAAACAGTTGTTATCGATTCTACTTTGCCGGCGTGGTTATAACTGAATTTTTTAATTAAATCATCTCAGCCTTGGTTGCATTTCTCAAAAACTGAAGGTTAACTCTATCGTTCTATTCATTTGGAGTATGGTAGTAAAATATAGGAAGGTACTATGATGCCAAACAGCTTCAAAATTTCCGAAGGAAGATAATTTATATTCGGTGGACCTAAAAAGCTGTCTTCTAGGCATACCTTTCCCTGCTTATTCCGCTCAAAAAATGTACTTTCGTTGTTGTGTTTTATATTTATTTCTATGGCGGAGCTACGTCTTTCTCAGAAGACTGTCCATTGAGCATCGAATAGTGAGCTCCTAAATTTTGGTTCAAAAAGAATAACCTTTTGAAATATCGTGCCTTTCAAACATCATTTCTGCTGCGTCTGTGGTTCGAAATGTTTTCTAACAAAGCAACAAAAACTTGACTATGTTTTTAGTTACCAGCCATTGCAATATTTCGGATAAACAGTGCGCTTTGTTGACCTTCTAATTGATTTCTTTTCACTTTCTTCAAATAAGTCCATGGTCTTAGGTTGAAAAATATACAGGAGGCCGAGACGTTACTTCTCTGACAAACTTCCTAAACAACCGCGTGAACGGAACAGAAATTTCGACTGGGGATCAGGTCGAGGAATCAAAGAAGAAGTGTAGCAAGTCCAAACCCAATGAGAAGGGAATGTGGGAGCTAGTGGACTGTCAGTTCGCCCACCATATCAGTCACAACGACGCCTTCGTCATGTTCTACGCGCCTTGGTGTGGGCATTGCAAGAAGCTGATGCCGACATGGGAAAAACTGGCCGAGAGTTACCAGAGTTATTTGTCAATCAGAATAAGTCGAGTAAGTGAAGATGAGTAGAGAGAGCGAAATTGAGATTGCAGCTTTGTGTGTATCAACTGTTCTAATGGGGAAAGCCATCATGATCAAATTGGAATATCGGATTTTTATTTGAATTCATTTACTCGTACAATATAAATCACGAAGAGTATTACTACTAAATAAGCCAGGCACTTAATCTGATCAACCCCTGAAATCGTGTCTTTCAATCATTTTAATGATAAAGTGTTTATTAACAAAGTAATTTTTTAAGTTTCGATGAATTCGTTGTGCAAATACAGTACAATGAAGTACAATGAATCCCACTTCTGATTATGATAAAAAAAGGAACATAGGTTCTCAATCATACAGAAACAAATGACATGATATGGATATTTATCTGTAAGATTTGTATGTTCTTCAGATTGACTGTACGAACAACAAGGAGAGCTGTGCCAAATACAAAGTGAAAGGATTCCCGACTTTGATCTACTTCAGACAAGGGAAAGAGGTAAACCTATGCTGTTTTCAAATTACAAAAGCATGCCAATGTCACATTACGAGTTCACTTTTTTCCCAACCTTGGTCTGGCATTTTTGAGTTTATTTTTTGTCTTTTACAAATAACTCTTTCAATATAGCATATAATCCACAGTTAAATTGAATTTCTCAACCTCATAGTGGGACCCTGTCAGGGCAAACTCAAGGGTTGCAATTGTTGCGTCAAAATATGACTGCTCAAATTCTTTTGGTTTCCGAGATGTGACCATTTTTATGATAATTTTTTTTCAATTTTGCCAAAAAAACTTAGATAAAAAACTAAACAATCTTGAATTTCTCAACCCTAACCATGTGTTTCTGTCAAGGTTTGTTCAGGGGCACTGTCAGGGTAAAAAAACTATTTGGCCTCTAACTTTTATTGTTCAAATCTGTTTTGCTTCCGATATTGGCGTTTCTCGTGATTTTTTTAATACTTCACAAAGACTTAGATTAAAAAACTAATACAAACTGAAATTCTCAACCCTATGGTGGAATGCTGTCAGGGTACAATAAAGGTTAACAACGCTGCCCTCTAATTTAGTCTGCTCAAATAAATTTGGTTTTCGAGATAGACGATCAGTTTATCTTCATGGTTTCATTAAATATTGCTGTGTTGGGACATCTTTTCAGAACTTCTTTTTTTGTTCAACGATCTATTTGAAGCACCATTTGTTCGAGATCTGCGCTAGTTTCTACTAATTCGAGTCCTATTTCTATTTTTTCTTAGTGCACCATAGAGCTGCTTTTTGTGTTTTGCTAGTGTTTGCGAAGCTTAGCCTTTGTCGCATTGATTTTTAAAGTTTTTCTAAGAAAAAAGTTGTTGATTAAGGTAAAATTGAATTTTGCGATTCGACTATTTGTTTTTTTGCTTCAATTGAATTTCATTTGGTAGAAAGATTTTAAAGTCAATTACGCTCTCCAATTAAGAAAGCGGAAGTTTCGCTAAAAAAACGAAGTACTCAAAGGTTCGGATGTCGATTTTAATTTTAAAAGGATTTTCCAGTGGAATAAAAAAAATACCCATTAATTCAGTTTTCTCTTGAGCTACCTTAATGAAAAAAGTGTTGATCAACAAAATGTGGTATAGTTCTATTTTCAGATTTTTTTTTTGACTTTTGAATTTGTTTTTTGTTCTGTTTAGCTGAGTTCATTGAAGCTTTTCCAACTGTTTGTTGGCTATGTTTTCAATATCTGAAAGTGACAGAATATTATTTAAGCTCTTTGCGGTTTTATTCGATTAAATTTCGACTTTTGTTTCGCTGTGTTTCGTCGGGATTTTTATAACATCCGAAGAGTATCGATATGCTGAGCTCAGAATTAAAAATGTATTTTACCTATGATCACTTTTCGGTAAGTTATAGGCGTTTGTTTATTATCAATTTTGGATAATTAATGCGTATCTTTTACCAGATTTCTCTTAAAACCCGTAGCGTAGGCGGTAAATTAGTGCGGCTCAGAAATTATTCCATGATATTTATTGTCTGGTAAAACATAGGTTTCTGTAATTTGCAATGTATGTAGGTAAGATTTTAAAGTTTTTCATTAGATCATGTTTCAAAAGGATATGGTAATGTAGACTCAAAGGGGACTATCCTGTAAATCTGCTACTATGCACACTCATTTATTGGATCCCATATGATGTTGTAGCTCGGAAGTTACTCAGGTGCCAGGGAATTCGAGGCCTTACGCGAGTTTGTAGAGAACAAATTAGCCGCAATTGTACTTCCTGAGAGGGGGTCCAAACAGGGCAAGGAGACTGCTCGACAGGTGGGAACTCTGGAATCGGTAGAACAATTTGAGACAATGCGCAAGGACATTAGACATGCCTTCGTCACTATCTTCTATCACGCATCGTAAGTCTCGTGCCCTGTTTCCGTTTTAATATAATCGGGTAGAAGAAAATTTGACTTTCGTTTGTCAATGATATGAGCTGCAGGTTTTTTTTAGTTGTCTTGATTCAATTTAAACAATAAATTTCGAGAGAGAGAGTTGCTTTTCCGACTGTTTTTTTTTTGAAAACGTAAAAATCCAATGATTATCTACAAGAATTGAATTTATTAGTAAAAGAATATCAGACGTACAAAATATTTCGTTTTTTTTTGTCTATTGTACCATCGTTCCTACGCTGAAATTTTTTGCTTTCTGTAAAGTGAATTGAGTTTTTCGTGAATTTTATTGCCTTTTATCAGTATGCGACTTCGATTTATGGCACTTCAAATAAAACAGTGTTAAATGTTCTACAACGTCAGCAGAATTTTTTCCTGTGAGTAATTTTTAGGCGGCCAAAGTTTGAGGAAGTAAGAACTATAAGATGAAACGAACAAATCTGTTCCTTGTTTGAGCTATATGTATATGAATTTCTAAAATTTCTGAGTAAAATCAGATGATATCAACATTGCAGTGAGTCCGTTAACAACTTCATTGAAAATTTTGGAGCACTTAATTCTTTAAAAGAAGAGACACGACTCAACTGTCTCGAAACAAAGCAAAAATTGAGTATAAAATAACAAAAAAAGCGGTTATCTGTACGTACGCGTAATTTTTTAAATATTCTGGCTAAATTTGACACGGAAATTTATCGAAATTTATTGACTTGAATGAATCAGTTTTCAGTATATTTTTGCACAAGTTAAGAGACAACAATATAGTTGATTCGGAACTTTTCACAGATATTTTTGGTAGACATTTTGTTGTTTGATCGGTTGTAAATTTAACGAGTGTTTAACTTAGACATGTTTTGATGAATCATGCTGCCTGATATGTCTTCATATCTGAGACCCTTTTTTTGCTTTTTTTGACTTTTTTTGCTTTGAGCATTGCAGTTCTATATCCTATTTTCTTAGCTTCTTCAAAATGATCAGATAGTCAACGAATTTCAAAGTAACAGAAGGAACATTTTTTACGATTCAAACAAATTGTGACAAACATATGCTTCTCAAGAATTGAAAGGTTGTTTGCGGCAGTTTAAGCAGGCTGGATATCCTTCAGTGTCCACTTAAGCTGGTGCTCTTTGAATGTTAAAATATAGTTTTATACATTTTTGTAGCGCGCATAGCTTGAAAACAAATTTATTATTATTCCGACTTTCGAGGGACGAAGAAGTAACGGAATATTGTGCTCGGGTGGGTTTTTTTTCAGACAAATTTCGACTTTTTAACTAGACATTTTGACGAAATTTTTTTGTCCTTCAAAAGGTATTGTTGTCTTGAGCTTAAATTTGAAAAGATATTTCAACTGTGATCATTTTTCGTAAAGTTATGGGGGTTTAAAGATTGCCAGTTTGGCCAATTTGGGACAATTAACGCGCCATATAATTCGCGCTATAAACGCGTAAGCGGAGATTTAATCCGTCTTAGAAATTGTTCCAAATTGGTTGAAAGAAGCTTATTTGCCATAGTTGATTTGTTACAAGGAGCGAAACCTATTCTTTTCTAATTTATATGGCGTGTGGGAGGATAATTTCATTAAAAAATTCAAATTTTGGAGAAAAAAAATTTTCATTTTTTTTTATTGTTCCGACTTTCGATACGAAAGTAACGGAATATTTGTGCTCGGGGTGGGTTTTTTTTCTTCAGTTTTTTTTAACTAGCCATTTTTGACGGAATTTTTTTACATCATTCGAAAGCTATTGTTGTCCTGAGCTTAAATTTGAAAAGATATTGCACCTGTGATCATTTTTCGTACAGTTATGAGGGTTTAAAGATTGCCATTTTGGCCAATTTGGGTCAATTAACGCGCGATATATTTCGCGCTATTAACGCGTAAGCGGAGAGTTAATCCGTCTTGGAAATCGTTCCAAATTGGTTGAAAGAAGATTATATGCCGTAATTGATTTGTTACAAGGAGCGAAATCTATCCTTTTGTTCTTTAAATGGCGTGTGGGGGGATGATTTTCATGAAAAATTTCAAATTTAGAAATTTTTATTTCATTTTCTTAATTTAATTTAATTTTTTGATGTTATTACTGCTCCATAAATATTAAAAGGCAGTCGGAACATTCAGGGCCTCGCCCTGATACGAGCAGTCTTGTTTAATTTGTTTTTGTTACTACTGCTCCATAAAGCTTAAAAGGCAGTCGGAACATTCAGGGCTTCGCCCTGATACGAGCAGTCTTGTTATTTTTTATTATGAAAACTTTTTAGTGTTAGTTTAATCATTACTCAGAGTAATTTTTGTTGCAGTATTGACCAGCACGTGAAGGACAGGGACGTGTATCATGACTTCAAAGACAGACTCATGAAAGGAGTGGACTTTTACGAAGTGGACTGTGGAGTGGCCGAGAAGCTATGCAAGCACCAAAAGGTCGCGCTAGTTCATCAGATAACATCATAATGATCAAATTAATCTCAGAAAAATTCAAACTTTTCTGCTAGTCACAGCTAACATCTAGTTGCCTCTGAAATAAAATCACAATGCACATTTATGATCGATTTCTGGATTGAGAATTGTTAGTGAGAAATGAGTAGCCTCGATTTTCCTCAAGTGAACTATGAATTTGTCACTATGAAGGACAAAGTCAACATCCTCCTGCCCAAAGCCCTCTAGCGGGAAGGATAATAAGCTCGAATTTTTAGCCAATCAGAATAGATCATTCAACACGTAGCTGTTTTTTGGGTTTAAGGGAGAGGCATTTTACACGCTATGCTTGGTCTTGGTCTGTTTGGGGGGGGGGGGGGGGGATTGGATCCCTCCTGAACATCATGGCTAGGTATTTTTGAGGTATGTTCAGAGATATAGATTTTTACTTGGTGTTGCTATAGCTATATCATGGATTCGAAAGCACCATCTCAGTCTTTGATTAGATGCTTTTGGAGCTTATCTGAACCATTTAGTCTGTTTTAGGCATTTAGTGACGACGAAACTTTTGTGATGTTCTACATGGGTACTAAAGCTTACAAGATGGACTCTGCGATTGAGAAGACGACAGACAACTTGAAGTCATTCGTGAAGCAAAGCATGAAGGATGCCATAGCATACATGCGAGACGAGTTATAGTCGTCATTAGTATAGTGTGACTATTCTCTGTTTCTGATTCTACTACATATGCGATGAAAATTCCACGAAAGGTCTTTTGGACAGGGAGAGGGTGGCAACTTTATGCTGGTCGTACTACTATAAGTGCTATTCATTATCCCATTATTACTTCTACTTTTCACTAAAGCTTACCAAGCACTTTTGTATTCAGTTGGGACCAAATTGAGTCTTTGTATATTTTTGATTGTTGGCACTGAATAAGATGCACAATATCGTACCATAATCTCTAAATTATGAATTTACGTGGTTGTGAGCGATTAGTTGGTATGTATTGTGTCTTTTTGAATTATTGTTTGTCCTGACATGATTTGATATAATGATCAGCTGTATGTTTTAAATGAGGCACTGGTGTCTTAACTTATTTCGGTGAGTCACCAAGTTCCAATTGCGTGAGTTGTGCTAATTCATTCATTGTTGTTTCCTCTGTCCCGTGTAAATCTATGTTATGCCCGACTGTGCCATGTTGGTTATAACAATTTGCTCTGTTCCATCGATACAAATCTGATATCTTATTTACGTGGTCTCCTCTCTTTCCTTGTCCTGACTCTTTCACGCTTATCGTCCTTACATAACATTATCTTCCCCTTGGTGCTGAAATCATTTGTATTTATTAGGAAAACTGCTTAACATTTAAGCAAAAAAATTATCTTATGTAACTATCAGATTAATTATTTTGGTGAGCAGTAAAATTTGTAAAAATCTGGATCCATTTCAAATTGGTAAGTAAAAGTTACGAACTAGGTTTTCATTTCGCTGCTTGTATATTTGATTGAGTGTTCCAAAAAAGTTGCCACTTTCAGTAAAATAAAAAAAACAGTTGAAGTAAACAGGTTGAAATAAAAAATATAGACGTTTGGAACTTGAAAAAAATATATGTTTTTACGTTTGCTCAGGGCGTTCTGTTAGGTTTTTCGAAAATACGTATGCCTTGCGCTCGGGATATTTCACCTGCGTTCCTTTTTTGTAATATTAAAAAATGAAAATTGACAATTTGGGATCGGGATTATTTGCGGCAGATTTTTTGTCATTTTTCTGTGAACGCGTAGTGTATGTTACAAATTGATAAGATTTTTATGAGACAAAAAGAGGCGGAGCAATAAGAAAAATGGTCAAAGAGCAGAAAAATATTAATTTTTATAAGCTAATCTGAAAAAGAATGATACGAATTGTTGGTGGCCACTCAATGAACAGAATGTTCTAAGCGAAGATTGAGTCTAAGAACAGAAAAACTGATGAATATCATTCGATACTAAAAAAAACTAATAGATACTGCATAAACTGAATAAATTGATCAAGACTTTTTTAGAAACTTTTCATGTCAGAGTCGGAACAATAATTTCATGAAAAGTTCTCAAATCGACTTTCGATACGAAAGTAACGGAATATGTGTGCTCGGGGTGGGTTTTTTTTTCTTCAGACAAATTTCGACTTTTTAACTAGCCATTTTTGACGGAATTTTTTTATATCATTCGAAAGCCATTGTTGTCCTGAGCTTAAATTTGAAAAGATATTTTACCTGTGATCATTTTTCGTAAAGTTTCGGGGGTTTAAAGATTGCCAATTTGGGACAATTAACGCGCGATATATTTCGCGTTGTTAACGCGTTAGCGGAGAGTTAATCCATCTTATAAATTGTTCCAAATTGGTTGAACGAAGCTTATTTGCCATAATTGATTTGTTACAAGGAACGAAATCTATCTTTTTGTTCCGACTTTCGATACGAAAGTAACGGAATATTTGTGCTCGGGGTGGGTTTTTTTTTCTTCAGACAAATTTCGACTTTTTAACTAGCCATTTTTGACGGAATTTTTTATATCATTCGAAAGGTATTGTTGTCCTGAGCTCAAATTTGAAAAGATATTTCACCTGTGATCATTTTGCGTAAAGTTATGAGGGTTTAAAGATTGCCATTTTGACCAATTTGGGACAATTAACGCGCGATATAATTCGCGCTATTAACGCGTAAGCGGAGATTTAATCCTTCTTATAAATCGTTCCAAATTGGTTGAACGAAGCTTATTTGCCATAATTGATTTGTTACAAGGTACGAAATCTATCTTTTTGTTCCGACTTTCGATACGAAAGTAACGGAATATTTGTGCTCGGGGTGGGTTTTTTTTTCTTCAGACAAATTTCGACTTTTTAACTAGCCATTTTTGACGGAATTTTTTATATCATTCGAAAGGTATTGTTGTCCTGAGCTCAAATTTGAAAAGATATTTCACCTGTGATCATTTTTCGTAAAGTTACGGGGGTTGAAAGATTGCCATTTTGGCCAATTTGGGACAATTAGCGCGCGATATATTTCGCGTTGTTAACGCGTAAGCGGAGAGTTAATCCATCTTACAAATCGTTCCAAATTGGTTAAAAGAAGCCTATTTGCCTATTTTTTTTTTCATTTTTTTTTATTTCATTGAATTTTTTTATGTTATTACTGCTCCATAAACCTTAAAAGGCAGTCGGAACATTCAGGGCTTCGCCCTGATACGAGCAGTCTTGTTGTACTTTATATGGCGTGTGGGGGGATGATTTTCATAAAAAATTTCAAATTTAAGAAAAAATAAATTTAGTTTTGTTTTCATTTAATTTTTTATGTTATTACTGCTGCTCCATAAACCTTAAAAGGCAGTCGGAACATTCAGGGCTTCGCCCTGATACGAGCAGTCTTGTTCAATTCATGTATGATTTATTCATTTCCTTGGTATTATTGACGATTTTAATAGTTGCTTTTATCGAATATCATATAGATAGATTTTTGTCTGCTTTTCTGCTCCTTGACCTTCTCTGCTCTTAGACAATTCTGTTCATTGATTTGCCACCGACCTAATTGCTATGTTCTGTTAATGAACACAGAATTATCATTTGTATTATCACCAGATATTGCATGAGGGTGAACGTTTTCCAAAAGAAATCAATTGTTTTTTTCTAAAAACTTCGATACGGCTATTCCGACACGTCAATACGGTTTCTGCAGATGAATCGTACAATCAAACCCCCTCCCTCAAATGGATTTAGGGAAAGAAAAAGAATTTTTCACAAGATAACTTTGTTTTTACAAGATAAGTAACAGATTTAGTTATCGAAACGTAATCCATACGTCGATTTAACTAATTTTATATCCCATGAAAATTCAATTTGTATGAAATATGCGTTTGTATGAAATGCATGTCTTACACAGAATTAAGTTTCATAATTAAAACATGCTTGGTGGGACATTCTGGGTTTTTCATTTATGTCTTTCCAATGAACGGCTATCAGTTTTTTTCTACAGTTTCAGTAATTAGTGTAACTGTTCCCACCATTGAAATTTGGCGCTTGTTTTTGTTTTCGGTTGTCGAGAAAAATTGGCACTAGTTTTGGTACTATTTAACTTGTTTGTTCCAGTGACAAAACTAGTTGAGATGGTTGCTCCCGCCTATTTTCTAATAAGACAAGCCCGCACGGGTTTCGAGCATCTGCATTGGGGTCGGTAACCGGATTCGTACCCTCTAGGCTAACTTGGCCAGTTTTGTCAACAGCAAAGAGAAGTTAAGATGCTTACTGTTAGAGTTAACCAAATACTGTACCTACGGTTTTGTTAGGGACTACAGCTTTTTTGAGGGACCACACAAGTAAACTAATCTAGTAACAAATTTTTTGCTTTTCAGTCAGTTGCAAATCTCAAAATTCGTGTCTGTACAAAACAGTCCCATACAAAACAGTGCAATACAAAACAGTCCGGAAAAGTATGAAAATGAACGAAAAAACAGTCCAATACAAAACAGTCCGAAAAACAGTCCCAATTAATAATTGTTTTAACAAGCCGGGAGGCCGAGAATTGTCCTTTGTTCAACAAGCATAATGAACAAAATAGTGACCGCCGCAGTCGCGCCAACGTATTGCGAGCTTGCCAACAGAGGGTAGGACTTAATACGAAATTTAGAGCCGGTTATCACCGCAAAGCGGCGACGCGCGCCCACCGGCGACCTTAAACCGGACTGTTTTGAATTGGACTGTTTTGTATGGGACTGTTTTGTATATGCACCTCAAAATTGAATTTAAAAAAATTCATTCAGTGATTTGTTTTGTGGATGATAACTGTAGTCAAGTAAAGAACAGTCATTGTGGTTTGTGGTAGGAATTTCTCTGCTCCTTGCGCAGCAACCAATATATTTTCAATCAATATCTTTTCAGTGCCAAAAAGTTTTTCTTGATTCTTTATTGCCCTATAACGATTACGACTTAGCATAATTGAATTTTGTTACTGAACTGGTACTGTTGGCTATAAATGTTTCGGCGCATGTTCTGTCGGCTTAGTTGCCTCATATTGGGTCGTTTTGCAAGGCAAAAATAGATTTTCATGAAAATAAAATTGAATTTTTCTCAAGTTTTTTTTTAGCTATTGTTTGTATGACAGATCTAATGATATACCTAATTTTTTCTATACTTGGTTCTTTTTTCAACTTTTTTGTCATTTTTAAGAGCTAGTTAGCCATGCTATATTGACGGTGTTTCGTAAGTGGTGCGAAGCTCCGGTTTGCGTCTGTATGCGTCTGATACAGGTTGTAGTTTCGATAATTTTGCAAGTAAAATCGACGGAGGAGTATGTGATGATTGTTCCTAGTAGTAATATTTTTCTTTGAAATACTTTTTAGCAAAGTAGAGGAAGCTCTATTTCACCTCTGTTAATTTTAAATATGACTGATTGAATAGAAGTGCATTATCTGAAAAGATGCATTTTAGTTTTTTTTTCTGGCTGTGAGTTAAAAAGCAAAAGCAGGTCTCTATTGTGTAGTTTCTATTTTCGGTGGTAGTGAATGTTTCTTTTTTCGGTTTAACAAACTGAATAATTTAAAATTATAGAGAATTGAAAAAAAACCAAGTATCGAAAAAAGAACCATTTTAACAGTTAGTGATTTCAGATCAAATCGTGTGAACTGATCAACAATGCCCGGCAGAGGAGACGAAGTGCACAAAGTGTACATTGGCAATCTAGGCAACAATGGGGAGGAGAACGAGATAAGACGCAAGTTCGAGAAGTGTGGGGAGATCAAGACAGTCTGGATAGCCCGCTCGCCCCCCGGATTTGCATTTGTCGAGTTCTACGAGCGAGAGGACGCCGACTACGCCGTCGACAAACTCGATGGAGCGTAAGTTATATCACTCACGTTTGAAACTTTGTTATGCAGGTGCCAAGGATTGCTACTGACTATTAGAGTTCTCAGGCGTTCTTCAAGGAAAAAAAATAAATTTAAAATTTTTTTTAATTTATCCAAAATTTTATAATATCCAATATTTGGTCTATCGGGTGCAGCAATAATTTTCTAAATTTATGTTAAAATGCTATGATGTTCGGCATGGCTTTGAAAAAGGAAACTCAAAACTGTTTTCTGGGCATGATCTTTATGAGTGATATTGAGATTTATAAATCCCCGCAAAATCTAATAAAACAAGCAGTATTTTAAAAATGAACCATTTAAGCAATCGTTACAGGACTGTGTGTGGATGCCGAGTGCGAGTTGAGTTGTCCCATGGGAAGAGAAGAGGCGAAGATAGATTCGGAGGCGGTGGTGGCGGAAGACGCAGGGACAGAAGCAGGAGCAGGAGCCGCAGTCGCGACCGAGGACGAGGAGGCCGTGGAAGAAGGTAGGCTGCACAACCTCATGCATCCATCACTCCATCTATTGGTCACCCTTAAGCTGCTATCAATGTTTTTTGATGGGTAGAGAATGCATGCATGTGATTTCGAATATTGATACAGTAGAACGTGATGAATATATTTAGAATGTTTGTTGCGGCGGTGCCGCAGTCGCCACCGCAACAATTTCGTACTGTTTTTTGGCAATTGGCTAACGATATTTAATGTAAAGTTAATTGAATAAAGGATGCCTTGATGTTAAAAAAAATGAGATGGTATAATTCGTTCGTGATTTCTGTTTTTCCCGATTTATAATTGAAGCGCACGAGTGAGATTTTTTGGAATATGAAATTAGGTTAGTGTGATAGGATGTACTTAACTGTTCTTAATCATTGGAAGTGGGGAGTGTATAGATGCTGAGGATGAATGAGGTTAAAGATGAATGTGTACTTGTAGGTCAACATCCTCCTCCTCCACTTCTTAAAACTACTCGCATCATCATCTCATCACACTCTTCTCAATGCTCCTTGTCTTCCTTCCTTCCGTCCTTCCTTCGCCGCCCCTCTTCCTCCTCCGCCTCTCTGCTCTCCGCCAGCGCCAGATACTCTTCTGTTCACGCCACGTCTCCTGAACTTCAGGCAAAGCAAAAACATCCCCCAATCTTCCGAGAACCAACCACGTCCCAATTATTTCAAGGGGTAGGGCGAAAGGGTCTTAAGATCACTGATCACGATACGCCACGCCATGATGCCGCATCAAGTTTTTTTTTGAGCTAAAAAGGGGGAAAATTATCTTGCAAGTTTTAGATAATGACGCCTCTTTTTGTTGTCCATCAAGGTTCGGATTTTTTAAAGAGTTTATTTTTACGCTTGCGATGAGCAAGCGTTATCAAACCTGAATGTAGAATTTTTATAACAGAATCATTTGAATCATTTTTTACCTTTGGTTCACATGAAATCATAAATCGCTTTTTATTTCGCACATGTGGCGAAGAGGTAATCCTTGTCTATGAAGACAAAGGTCAATGGTTCGAATCCGGGCAGGACCTTTTTTTGTAAACGGAAATTTGTCCTCGCGTCAAAAAATATGTGTCTGCTTTTTTGCCAGCCTACTTACCGCAGCGCCAAGTTCGCCTAAAATTTGGGCATTTTTTCTCGAATTAAAAAAAAAACATTTTTGTGTCCGGTTTTGGGTTCCAAGAAGTTTTTGGGTTCCAAGAAGGAATTGAGTTCCAAGAAGTTCTGCCTATTTTTTTTCGCTTTTTAAATTTTTTTCATGCTGTTCATAAAAAAATTTGAAAAATTGTTTCTTTACAAATTCAAGGAGTGTTCTGTGCATTTAGTGCAGTGGTAATACCTTTGCTTGAGACGACAAATCCCCTTAGTTCGATTTCACTCGGGACCTGTTTTTTGTCGAAACTGAAAATTTTCGAAAGACTTTCGTGTCTGCTAATTTTAAGCCGGCTTAGGTCCCGCTAAAAGGTTCGGTTTCTTTTAGGCGTTTTGAAAGCTCCTTGTGAAGTTTTCTACTGATGCAAGTAGTTGGTTCAGGAATTTTTCATACAATTCATAGTCGTACATTTTTGTATCGCAAGTGATGCGAAGCTCCACTTCGCCTCTGTGTTAAATTCCACGTAAAATGAAAATGAATGAAGAGCTCTTTCATTTTTGCAAATAGAGTTTTTTATCAAAGTTGGTCAGCATCTGTTCAACTTTATTTTGCGCACCGCTCCGCAAAGATCCTCGTCAGTCGCGACAGCACTGGCGAAATGAGCAACCACTCTTCTAGACATCTCTACTGCTTCGAAAGCGTGGTAAAATGACTTGCATACTTGCTTCTTACTTGCTATTATTTCATTGTACTCTTGTCTCTAAACAGTCTTCATCTATCCGAGATCTTCGCTTTTTCTGTTCAGTGTATGTATGTAATCGAGGTAACAGGGGCTGAATGGCCGTTTGTCGTGATAGATGATGTGGTGCTAAAAGATGTGACAGATCTGTGCAGTTCATAGTTTGTTCACGCTTTTCCTGTTTCAGGTCGAAGAGTACATCTTCACCACGAAGACAGAGAACGAGGTGAGTTTTCATTGGATTCTTAAATGTTATTACACTACAGTCAGATAAGTTTATTATTAAGAACCTTCTTTTTTTCTAACCCAAGTCGCAAATATTGGTCCCATCTTTGGAGCACCTTTAAGCTTTTTGATAGCATATCTTTGACATTCGACTAGTAATAAATTTTGTAATTCAATATGTCTCACAATTTTTTGAATGCGGTTTTTATACATAATGCAGCTTTATGCTTTGCGATTTGTTACATGTTAAGTTAGTGTGGATGCCTTCACTTTGTTATATTTCAAATTTTACTCGCAAAATTGAGTCTGTTTGTATTTGCTGCCACTTTTGCTGAATAGAATTGGCAATTTGTTAGCATATCTAGCTGCTTTATTCGGTGGTTAGTGCATGAGACCCAAAATCTCCTAATTGCAGTTAGTCGCAGATCATCAAATCCTAGACCTAGTCGAATTTTTGCTCTTCAAGGCTAATTTCTATTTTTTCTAGCACTTTCTTATTGCTGTTCATTTCTGTTTCGTATGTTCAGGTCGAGGTCTAACTCCTCGAGGGACAGATTCGGAAGACGCAAGAGGAAGGAGAACACCAGATCTCGATCCAAGTCCACCAGGTGAGTTTAGAATTAATTCCTTAAAGGCTACGTGTCTCACATATACTGTAGTAGCAGCTTTCTTGTTGTCAGTATGGGTGATTGTCTTGAAAATTTTACTCTGTTGCACGTGGTGAGTTTCTTGGGTTTCTTTGATTTCAGAGATACTTGGACTAAGTAAGTAATACATGTTTCGTTTAAATTAGGCAAAATGGGTTTGCTCCTACAATTTCATTTCAGTTAAAATACTACAAAAAAAAACAAAACTACAAAAGTTTCCTAAACCTGTTTGATATTTGCCTTATAATTACAAAATTTCGCCACTACAAAATTTTGGGCTCTTTTGTAAATGTGAGCAGCATTTCTTGCATAGAAATTGCTCATTCTATACAAAGTGTTCAAAAACTTTATATTGGAATTTTACAAGGAAAACTAAATTTTGTGGGAAACTGGAAAAAAGTCCTATTCTTAGCTGCCGATTCTGAAGCAAACCGTAAAGTATTTTTTTTCAGCCATTAGGACATTTTCGCTTACCTATTTTGAAAAACTTCTTGATTTTTCCCAGAAAGGTGAAAAAAAGTTCATCTGCCGATGATAAACCACCGAAATCTTCCAACAGGTAATAAAACTAAGATATATACTTGGCAGACCGTATGATTATTTATAAATACGAAGTAGTAGTTATGGTTATTAATAAATAGTGGAGTTCCCTGTTTTACTAGCAATCGAAAAGTCTTGCCAGTTAAGAGTCTTGTTGAGAAAAAGAAGGGCTCTCAAAATGGAATGACGGGGAAGGTTGGCTGGTGGGTTGAAAGCACCTCAGTATTACCGACTGAAAAGTATTCAAGTCGTGTGTTGTATAGAAACAGTTTGCGGGAGGGTTCACAGCTTTATCGTTACCTCACATAAGCATCAACTTTGGTGATCTAACGAAGTGATTTAACTAGGTTTAAAATGAACACCAAATCCTTTTGAAATCAATTTGTTCGCGAGCAAGCCATTTTTTGAAACAATGGAATATTGTGAATGAAGTTTTTATTAGTAAAAAAATATGCGGGGGGGGGGGGTCAGGTTCACTAGTGAGGTTCAGTTGTATTCATTGCAGTCTCGGATGATTTTAGTCGATTTGTCAAGATTGCATAATCACATAATCAATAGACAATGAATCAAAGAATGATTTGTTGTAATAGGGAACAAGGCGATGAAGAGAAAATGATTTGTTGCATTAGGCAAAGATTGTTGCATAATTTAGTTACATAATGTTGTTGCATAAGCCAATATATGATATGTTCGTGTGTTGTAATAGGGTGCAACCCGATGAAGAGAAAAAGGGAGTGGAGTAATGGCTTCAAACAACCGAAAATATTTGGTAAAAAAATGAAATTGCGACAGCACTCACTGGTTGTGGTTTTAAAAAGTCTTGCACTTTGATTGGCTTTTGGAAAAATTCCTGTATTTATATCAATGTATGTAATCAACACTTAATGTCTTCGTGGGCAAACTTGTCCTTGTTTTTGGTGGTATGCACATAGGATCGAATTGGGCATTAAATGCGAAGGTTATGTACATTGGACCTAATTAGGCCGTAAATGCTAAGGTCGCCATGTGTCTGTATGAAGTGGTAAATTTTTCGAAACTTTCGTTAGCCATGTTTCAGCAGCTCATTTTTCCATTGAGCTATTTTGAGTTCTAATTGGTAAGTAAATGTTTGATATATTTTCAGTAAATGAGACCACGCAAATAGTTCTTCATAAGCAGCAGGTGATTGATCGATTCAACTACATACATATTGAACAAACGAAGGCCATGCGATCACCTGAAGCCAATTCGAACCACACTGAGCGATGCAAAGTTTGATTCGACCGATTTGAGAACGAGAAACTCGATTTATTTTATACACCCCCTGAACATCACTGCTCTTAATATTATTACCTCTGCTTATTGAGTTTTCATTGATAGACGCTTGATTTGGATAGATTTTAATTTTTCAAAGTCCTTAAATTAACCTAATAGGCATAGCGGATCGAATTGTCAAGTTTTGAATCAATAATTCTGAAGCAGAAATGGTTTGTTTTAGAGATATTTTCACCATGTTCAATTGAGCTTGTTTCCGCCCACTAAAACGGGGGTTTATTTACAGTCGAACTCAAATAAAATGAAGTTCATATTTACGTATTCCTATTCCAACGGAGCATTTGAGCCGCTGTGTAGAGGACACCGATGAAAAAAAAACGACCAATGTTAAAAATCTGTTTTTAGCGTTACATGCAAGCGTTACTACCCTTTGTTGTTTGTACTGTATTACAAATGTTTCAAGTGAATTTAAAGTTCGTTTTTCAAAGCATTTTTAAATGTTAATTAAAAAGAAAACATTAAAATAAATGAGAAATCAATCCGAGATAAATCTATGTTGAGCGTGAAAAATTGTTTCCTGAAATTTGTTCACGCTGAACATATCACTTCGGTGTTGTGGTCTTTGTGCTTGTTTTTTTTTCAAGAAGTTTTTTTAAAAAAATGGTTCTCTCGTTCACGCACTAAATTGATTATTCACGGCTTGATTTTGTTCAGTTTTGTGAATTGTAAGCTTATTCCGCAACAAGGACGCTTCTTTTGTTCTTCTTAAGTTTTTTCATTCGCTTTGATTGTTTCGGCAAATTTTTAACATGTTGTGTTGTCGCTTGAATCCAGGAACATACAGACACAAAATTGTGCGCCTATCCAGTACACAGTTTGGCCTCGTAATTATTCGTTTTTTCTTCATGACAAATTAACATAAGGAAAAATGGCTATAAAAACGGCGTTTTCTGAAGTTTCAGCTATTTCCTATTGTTCTAGAGTACCATTTTTGATATTCCGAATGATGCAGTTAAATGAAAGCGACATTTTTGCCGTAATTTTCTCAATGTTTTGATATTTTTAATACAGGATTTTTTGATCAAATGTATGGAATTGTTGTTTTGCTGATTAAGAGTATCGTTTTTGCAGCTCCAAAATTGATCGCGCTACTGAACGTAGTGAAGACTCTAATTGAGGTCTTGCTGTTTTTTTTTTGTTTTTTTTTTTCAGAAAAAGTCTTAAAAGTCTCTAATAACTACAGATGTGCATTCATGCATATTGATGCATTTGTGAATACGCTTAGGTATATATGCAGCTTTGAGTTCAATTGAAACTTATCTGCTGAAAGTGACGTAAATAGCCCTCTCCAAATATGAACGTGGAAATGGCACAAAAAACGGTGAACGATTGAAAATGGAATTTAATTTTAAGATTTCCAGCGGAATAAAAGCTTTATCTATTGGTCCAGTTTTCTCTAGTTTAGTTCATCTTATCGAAAAAGCGCCAGTTTTAAATTGTTCTAGAAATTCAAAGAGCTGAAAGTGTATCCAGTTTATTCTTTGAAATTTGAGATTTTTTGAAGAAACTTAGTGTTTTTTATGTCTACTTGCGTTCATTATATGTCTACTTGCGTTCATTGCTCTTTTCCAATCTCTGATTGGCTATCTTGCATTATGAAAGTGATCTTAAGAAATAAGTTAGTGGACATCTGTCTTAATTTCTCGCTAATACTTAATTTTGTATTGGAAGTGCTAAATTGCGTAATTTTCTCTGAAAATTATTCCGTTTCTTTTGCTCTTATGGCATTCGGCTCATGTAGTTCATGAACACGTAAAAAGCACCTGAACTAGCTAGGTTCAAATTTATTTTGTTCAATATCTGGTAACCAATGGGTGGTAACTAATATTCAAAGGGTGAACTTTTACCTTCCAATGTGTGGCACTTTTTAAAGGTGCAACAACATGAGTCTGCTGTTTTCAATGTTTCCTTTTTGTTCCGACCAATGAAAATGGGAAGGAACTTTATATATGAGTGTTTCAGTTTTTTTTCTTTTGATTTCCACGCAAAATCAAGTATCGAAAATATTTATTGCTATATCATTCCTTTTGCATCGTCCTTATAAGCCTTTTGCATCGTGATTCGAACTACGTTAAAAAAAATTTCATCAAATTGTAAATTTAATGATAAAAACTAAATCGAATTTTTTGAGTTTCAGTCCAATTTCGAACCAGTGCTAAGAAAACTTGATTTCATGAAAATAAAAACTGAAAATTTTTTGTTTAATTTTATTATTTTTTGAAAACAAAGGCTGTCGATAATGTATAGTTCACTAACTTTCGAGGCAATTGTATTGTTCTCTCGTCACACCCCGCATTAAAACAACACTAATTAGAAGAAAAAACTTTTGTTCTGTAGTTTTTTCTAATATATATGGTCGGAACGAGTTTCTTTCTTACAAGTTCAAAAAGATTTAAACTGATAAATTTTTGTCTTCGAAATTCGAAAGTTTTTTTTTCTGTTTCCTCTTGTTAATTGACACTTTTCCAGTTTTCTGTTGGCTAAGTTTATTCATGAGAATCAATTAACTGAGCAGGAAAATCTTTTTGGTTAAAAGTATAATTGTTGAGTTTACTGGTTTAAAAGTAAAACCTGTTTCAGAATCTAAAGTTTTCGAATCTGTAGCTTTTTTGATTATCTACACTGCTTACTCGACCAAGTTCTGTTTGATTTATCATCACCTGATTTTATTCGTGGTTTCAGATTATACAGTGATGGATAAAGTAGATCGAGGCAAGATTAAAATCGGTCACTATGTTCTGGGAACGACTCTTGGCTCGGGTACCTTCGGAAAGGTCAAAATCGCAGAGCACAAACTTACAGGGCATAAAGTAGCAGTGAAAATTCTGAATAGACAGAAAATCAGAAGCTTGGATGTCGTGAGTAAGATAAAGCGGGAAATTGAGAACCTAAAGTTGTTTCGTCATCCACATATTATTAAGCTTTATCAAGTTATCAGCACGCCAACCGATATTTTCATGATAATGGAGTATGTCGCTGGCGGAGAATTGTTCGATTACATCGTGAAAAAAGGGAAACTTAAAGAGTCAGAAGCAAGAAGGTTTTTCCAGCAGATCATATCAGCGGTGGAATACTGCCACAAACATATGATAGTACACAGGGACCTCAAACCGGAAAATCTTCTCTTGGACTCACACAGCAACGTCAAGGTCGCAGACTTCGGCTTGAGTAATATGATGATGGACGGCGAGTTCCTCCGTACATCTTGTGGCTCACCGAACTACGCAGCGCCCGAAGTCATCTCGGGAAAGTTGTACGCGGGCCCAGAAGTAGATATCTGGTCGTCGGGTATTATTTTGTACGCGCTGTTATGTGGAAGCTTACCGTTCGATGACGATCACGTGCCCAATTTGTTCCGAAAGATTAAAGCTGGCCACTTTTTCATCCCGGACTACATCTCAGAGCATGTTCGAAAGTTGATGCTTTCCATGCTCAATGTGGATCCTCTGAAACGGGCATCGATAAAGGACATCAAAGAGAATCCGTGGTTCCAGAAAGATCTGGCGCCCTATCTTTTTCCGGAGCATGGACACGACACCACAGCGATAGACGAAGAGGCTGCGAAGGAAGTTTCAGAGGCGTTTAACAAAGATTTAGACAGGGTCATTGCTGATATCTACCTGGGAGATCCATCGAATCAGTTTGTGATAGCATATTTTTTGATCGTTGACGAAAAACTGAAGTTGAAACGATCGAATGCTGATTCGGCAAAAGAACAAATGAAGTCAGAGTTCTTCGTTGCCAGTACTCCAGACGCACACCCTAGTCCCCTAAGGTCAAAGTTGGCAGCGTTGCCGTCGAATGCAAAACAGCACCCGGAGCGGCTGACTCAGAAGATTTCACGCACACCATTTGATAATACACAGCAACCGGTGGTGCCATCCGCCCCTCCTAAAAGATCACGTTGGCACTTGGGAATTAGGTCCCAGAGTCGACCAGCTGATATAATGTCAGAGGTTTTCAAAGCCATGAAACAACTCGGGTTCGAGTGGAAAGTTGTGAACCCATATTGTGTGCGAGTGCGGAGGCAAAACCCGAAGAAACCTACAAGCTTTGTCAAAATAGGACTTCAACTCTATCAAGTTGACCACAAGTCTTACCTGTTGGACTTCAAGAATATAAAACAAGCAGAGCTGTCGATGCGACAGAGACAAAGGGCGAATAGTCTGACTAGTAACACTACGAGATCGGGCAGCCGAGATAGTATATGCGAGTCGCCACGTGCGTTTGATCACCCGAGGTCGATGTCATCGTCCTTCAATGCCAATCAGTTTTTCGCGGGTCCAAGTGACATGACTCCGGAAGAGTTCGCAAATTTAGTGACCAATAATAGCGAGGCCATGCGAGAACATCAGACAATGGAGTTCTTCGAGATGTGCGCGGATCTGATTAGGACTCTGGCAAGGTAATATGGAAAAAAAAACTAAGCAAAAGTAACAAAAATTTGAACTGCTGAATCACAATTTAAACTGTAAATTAGTTTAGTTAGCTGTTGAAGACTCATCCTCATCACCTTCATTAAATACATTGTGTTCTGCTGTTTCTCCTCAAATCTATTTGGAAATGATTCTCTAAGCGGCTCTTCACTACTGTTTGTTGACTTCATAGTATATGAATACTGTGTTTGATGTCTTAACGTGCTATTATTACTCAGTGATTCAACACGTACTCTACCTCTCTATCCAAGTTGAACTGGAAAATGATATTAATAATACATCAGAGGAGCCAATAATTTGATATGCTTCTAAACTTTTCAATTCGGGATAAAAATTAAGGAAGTTGAATTACTTGATACAGAAGTTTGTTTGTATGAGTACCTGAATGTTGGAAAGAAATATAATTTTTTGTACGGCCTAATTTTGACGGATATTAGTAATCGAATGCAATCCGCAAATATTCAATTGGTTACATGACAATTAACCCCTATGCAACTCTAACTCTATCATCCAACTTATCCTATGCTTCGTTACCATATGTTCATAATATCAAAATTTACCCTATGACTTTGAAGTATCCCTTAGAAAACAAATCGGTATAAGCTTCAGGAACCACTAACCCGGCTCAAAGATTTATTGCTGCATTAGAATAAAGTATCAAGGCAACATAAAAACAGCCAGCTTAACCGAAATGATTTCAAAACATGAACGAACATGAAAATATATCAACACACTTTGAAAGTTTTTGTGGAATGGGCAAAAGTCACATCTCACCAAGTCAGTAATGTTAGTTGATAATGTGCTTTGAATTCTCCCGATAATTTGAAGTTAAACCCCCGAGAGTTCATTTTTTTTACGCTTGCGATTAGCAAGTGTTATCAAACTGGAATATAGACTTTTTTTTCGGGTAAACAACTAGTTTAACAATCCCTTGAATCAATTGGTATCTTGGCTCATAATAAATTCGAATTTCTAAGCGTCTCCGGCACACTTAACCTGGAGGTAACCAATAAGCCTGGGACGCCAAAAGTCCTGGGTTTGACACTGACCGGACCTGTTTTTTTTTAAACGGGAAATAGTCCGTTTCGAAAAAAAATTGTCGACTTATTGTCTGCTTAGTTTCCATATTGTAGATTTTTCAAAAAGTTTTTTACATTATAGTTGCTTTTAGATAAACCTCTGCTGTTTGTAATTTCACAAAAATTGATTTCGTATATACATATATATATATATATATTTCGTTTAAAAACTTTATTCTGCACAAATTATTTCGGCTTAATTATTATCGGCGTAGTGATCTAATGTCGAGCCGTTTCAACGGAAACATATTTTGGATCGCGCAAAATGCTAAATTTTAAAATAGAAGTAATTTTTTTCCGGCTTCATTGATTTTTTGCTTGATAGGTTGCGGTCTATATTGTATCGGCTTATTGGCCTCATATTGCGTCTTTTGACAAGCGAAAAAAGATTGTGTGCGTGTCTGTGTTTTGAGGTTGAGGGGTACTTAACATCTTCTTAGTCTTAATGGTTTTTTTTCCGGCTTTTTTATTTTCCTTTTTTGGGCCTAATAGGTTTCGGCCTATTCTATATCAGCTTAGTGTCCTCATTTTGTTTGCTTGACGAGCAAATGAAGTGTTTTCAGGTTGAGGTGGACGTATTAACTTTTCAGATGTCTGAAGTCTTGTTGATTTTTTTTCGGCTTAAAGGGTTTCTGACAATGTATTTTTGGCTTTGTTACCGCTGGATGCATTATCTTTCGATGCTTATTGAACATTCTATTGTCTTGTCATGTTTTTGTTCCAAAGATCTATTTTTTCGACCTTTTCGATTTTTCATCGCAAGTGATGCGAAGCTCAGCTTCTGTGTTGAATTTCGGTGCGGATTTTCGGATTCAGGAGTTTTTCCCCACAATAATTAAGTTACAGTTATCATGTTGGAAGTTGAGTGATATATTGTTCAAGCCGTTACTACCAAGATTCGAGCTGCAATTAAAATTCAGAAACGTTGTCTGTATTTTGAAAAAAAAAAACAGTTCAGAACTTGGCGAAATTAGAGCGAAGCGTTAATTATAGCCAAAATAAGTAAGGCATTTTGTTTGCCGTGTAGCCGGTTGTTTTTCTGGACGAGTAACTTTCCATTGGACATATTTGGACTCAAGTGTCTTAATAATTTTCTGCGAGTCGTTGTGTTTCATACCCAGATTGTCTACGGTTCTAAAAGCTGAGTTTCACTGACAGAAATGAACGTTCTTAATGCTGAAAGTATCCGTATGAGTGTTATCAAATCGGAATGGACTTCTTTTTTAGATGACAGTTTGTGCTACAGCATTACGTGAATCATTTGACAGCTTGGCTTATAAATAATCCAAATTTTCCAGCTCATCTGTCGCACTTGTTCTAGCGGTAACAACTACGACTGGGAAGTCCAAAGGTTCAAGGGTTCAGTTATAGCCAGAACCTGTTTTTTTAATCGTGAAAAGCTCCGTGCACAAAAAATTGAAGGCCTATCGCTTTGACTGTTTATTTTTCGTGGGCCTAGTTGCCGCATGAGGGATTTTTCTTGAAATTTTTCCTGTTTGGCCTCAAAAAATTTATTTGCCCTCAAATATTTCAGCCAAAGTTTTTTTTTCGGCTTAGTGGCCTAATTTTGCATTATTTGGCAGAAAAATTGAGATTTTAATGCTTCTCCGGAGGCATGGCGTGAAAAGTTAGAGATTCAAAAATATTCCATAACTTAATTTTTCGCGGCCTATGAACTCTTAATGAATTTTTCTGAGTACTTAACTATTGCAATTGTGCTTTTTGTTGTTTTTTGTGACAAAACTGCAGCCAAAATTTTTTTGTCTACGGCGGGAGTTTCTTTTTCGGCTTTGTGTTTATATTTCCTGTTTAATAGTTTCTGCAAACTATTTATCAACTTAGGTGCCGCTTGCTGCCATGTTTGATATGCCTCAGTCTCGATTGCGCTAGTGGTGCAGTGAGATCATAAAATTAAAGGTCAACTGTCAGTAAAAAAGCGAAGACACTTAAAAAGCATGTGGTTGCTTAGGTTTTTGAGAAGAAAAAATTAAAAATTGTTTATACTCACGTCTGTTTTTTTTGATGTTCAGACTCTTATCTAGTTTTTTTTATTTTTTCATGGATGATTTTTTTCAGGGAAGTCTTGAAAATTGTTCACGCATAACTTTTTTGTGGTATGATTTAAGTTTTTTTTTAATTTTCGCTCATATCATCTAATAAAGATAAAGGAAAACTCTACTAGGTAGCAGCGAAAGAGAAGGTCACGAGAAACGTGACCAACTTTTTTTTTTGAAAATGCAATTTAATTACCAGGCTTCTAGGCGAAATAAAATTTAAAAATGTAACCTATTGATTTCTCAAATTGGGTTGATGTTATCTAAAAAATTGAAATAGAATGAGCTTCAAGGCATTTTTTTCTTAGAAGTTCGAAAAGTGAAATTTCATCAAACAACAAATCATTATTTTTTTTTGCTTACTTGCGTTTATTGACTCTTTTCCAACTCTCTGTTGGCTGTGTTTGTTTTTTAAAATACTTTGGACTGTTTGATAAAAAAAGTCAAACTACGCTTTTCAATTAAAACATTCATCAGTTTCGAAAATGAATTTTAATCATAAAATATCTCTGCAAAAAATATCCGTTTTTTTTCTCGAGATACATCGTAAAACGTGATTCTTTGCTTCTTTAAAATTCAGAATAAGAAATTTTTTAAATTTGTTTTCATCTCTGATTTCTGAAACTTTGTATCAAAAATTTGCAAATTTAAGTGAGTAAATTGTGCTGATAAATTGTTCTACAAATTTTCATTAGTTTACTCATACAATTTTTTTTATTTTGCCATTCTAAACATTGATTTCCAGACTATCAACAATTATAGTATCGATCACGTCATGTAGTGTGTAACCGTGCCCAATGAAGGATGTTTTTCTAGATAGAAATGTTATATAGATTACCTAATCAAACTTCGCCTCTTCGCCTTTGTGAAAACTTTTCACAAAGATTTCTGGCCAGAAATTTAGATTAGATATTAAGTATTCTATGTCAGAAATAAAGATTTTTCTCGGTACGAGTAGGGTTTTACTGATGTAGGGTTGTTTTGTTCTCGGTTTTTTGGTGCTCACAGAAAGCTTGCAATGTGAAATGTTGTTCGAAATGGAAGTGTCGTGCAGCTTATCTTGTAAAACCTGTATCAATTATCTTTCGGACTCGACCATTCATAATCAAAAATTTTCAAAACAACTTCGTAGTGTCAAGAAACAACTGTTTAAAAATGTTGTTTTCACTGTCTTTTAGACTGATTAAAGGAGGCAAGTCGCTGTTAGAGCTAGAAAACTAATAGTAAATGTGTGGTAGAGGTAGCACACTTGATTGAAACAGCGAAGGCCTCTGGTTAGAATCCGACCAAGACATATTTTTTGCAAACTTTTTTTGTGCTTTTTTGGCCTATCGTCGGTCCGCCCATTTTGGTCGGCTCGATTCCCGTAGCCAAAACTTTTTAAAAAGTTTTAACTGTCTTCCAAATTGTTCTAACACCTATGCGTGAGACAACAGAGCTCAGGAGTTCGATTCCAGTCGGGACCTGGGTCTTTGCAAATTGAAATTTTTTTGCTTTTTTCTTGGATTTTTAGGTCTGCTTGTTTTTGCTATTTTACTTTGCACAGAAAGGACTTTTTTGAAATGTAGACTTTTTCTAGCAATCAGAAAATCTTTAAAAAGTTCTTACAAGTGCAGTTAATTTTGTTCAGGATCTTTTGGGCTTTTTTGCAAAATTTTTTTTGACAAAAACGATTTGAAGTTAAGCCGATTTTGAAGTTTTTTTCATTCAATTTCAATCATAGTCATTGAATCACAAGTGCTACCTCTTGTCATTGTGCTACCTCTTGTCAATCATGATTGACAAGTGCTACCTCTTGTCAATCATAGTCATTGAATCACAAGTGGTGTGAAGCTCAGCTTTGCCTCTGTGTTTTGAAGTTGTTATAGCCTTGATTCAATTTCCAAAAAAAAAAATAAAAACCAAAAATATTTTTTTGTTTTCAGAAAAACTGGTTTAAAATTTCTCATTAAATGTCACAAATTATACATATGACACATTGAAAGACCACTAGTAAATTATTTTTTGGAAGTGAGGGTTCACATATAACCGAGGCTTCTCTCATGTTAACCTTTGGTTGCCTGATATCAAACGTTTCCTTAAGATTTTTTGAAGATAAGAAGCGTTTTGGAAACTTGTAAGTAGAGATCCGTTTCAAGATGTACTCTGTCTGTCAATGTTGTAGTTTTCGCCTAAAAGACGACTTCCGTAAAGACATAGCAGAAATAATCACTACTGCATCAATATAGCAATCTTTAGATACGCAGAAAGGTATCAATGCTCAAGCGTAGCTATTTCTGTACCATCTCTGTGCAAATAGTATCGAAGTAATCGATGAATCAGCTCCTTGACATATCGGCAATCCTTCAGTGCTTGCGTTACTGCGGTAGCAGTAACCTTGATGGCTTAATGTTAAGTAAAAATTCATGACATATTATATTTACGTCAAGGTCACTGTAGAC